TCTAGACTGGCGCTTTTCTCCGGCAAAACCCCGAGCCGGAAAAAAGTGGCAGCCATGTTCAGGCAAATGCCATGGGGGATATTTAAATCCTCCGCGGCATTTGCAATTCTGAAGTGTCTCATTAGCATCCCTTTTCCGGAAAAGGGTGCCAATGTAGACACAGCCAAAATGTATGGTCAATAGCTCCATCTATCCAGAAATTAACTCAACAAATTCTGGACACAGAGTCTACTGCAAATTGATAGGTGTGGCGGCGCGTCAGGGTTCCTTCACCTCCTGCACCCCCGTAGTGGCACGAACAGACTCCACTAGCCAGTAGAATAGAGGGAGTTTATTGCTTCTCCAGGGTACAACACAGTATAGATGTAATCTTGTTACAGGGCAGGCCTAGGATGCCTCAACCCCCCCTTGAGATGCCTCAACCCCCTTCCTTCATCTCCCTCCCTGGAAGCCAACTGGTTGGACAGGTTGGGAGCCCCTTGCATTATGACTCATCCCCGGTCCTGCTGGGCTGTGCTACGAACAGCCGCCAGCGGAGGTCACCCACAGCCCACGACCCGGCATAGCAACCAGCAAGGTACCAACACTACATCACACCAGGCATCATTGCTAATTACAAATCTACAAGGAAGTAAAGCAGATCATGAAGACTGCAGTATGTAGAAAGGGAAGCAGCCTACAAGATCTCTCTAAAATGTGTGTAGTGTCCATTTTGTCATCTTAATCCACATTTAAATGTGCTATCAAATATTCAGTAGAACTCAATTTGTGTATGGAAACTTTTTTTTAAAGTAGTCAATATTTAGGTACTACTATTGAGGACAACGCTTAACTTTAAGCATTTCCAAGGACTGAATAGGCATCCCTTCCTGATCTAGGGCCTGGAGACCCTCCTACTGCCTTCAATAAGAGTTTTGCCTTGTCCCTACTGTATTTTATTTGTCCCATCTCCCAGCTACTTACCCAAAGAATAAACAAGACTTTATAGTTTTACCGGTTGGATTGCTGATGTAGACCACAGTTTGGGTAGAGGGGGTTGTAGAAGTCAGTGTAAGTGGAGGTACAATAAGAACCCAATAAAATAGTTTCCTCTTTCCCAGTTGTATCCTGTGGATTTTATCTATGCTAAAACAAAAATTTCTAACCATATATTTCTTATTAAAGACATCAAGGATAAAATCCTGATCCCACTGAAACCA